TTCGAGATATTAGTATTCCCTCTGATCAATCCCCTTCTACATGATGTTGATGAATTCAATAAATTAGACGATTGAAGAACGATTGTCATCGTTTTTGTTATGATATTAATGGATTGAAAAACAAAGAGGACAAAACCTAAAGTTGAGTTTTTGATTTATGAATATTATTATGATATGAACATGGGACGTGTATATATATAGATAGATTATTATTATTATTATAGGGATAGTAGTTAACAGAAATAAGATTGATTTGACTGGATTATTATAAAAGGGGAAATAATAGTATGTTTTATACGTTATTCAAAGTTTGAATTGAATGGGTATAACATGGCTAAGAAGAATATTTCTTATTTTGGCTAGGCCTCTGATTGTACTTACTCTTATTGACTTTCAATATAGGAAAATTATATAATTAAGACCTAATCAACTCTTAATCCGTGTATCCAATTAGGTATTTCATGGGTGATGATACTTGGCATAAATATAATTAAAGAGTGAACCATATTAATTTCGTCAAATTAAGAATTATTCTTGTTAATGAAAAACTTATACAAGTAGCCAATCAGTTGCAAATAGCAATAAATAATAAATAGATGAGAAAAAAATATACAATTAATTATAATAATTTGTGTATAATTATATTATTATTATATTATATTACCTTATAAGCATGAACTCCTAACTTCAATGTTAAATTACTATAATATTCCTAACTTAGGTTTTGATTTTTTCGATAAGTTGTGAGTTTTTCAATAAGATGTGGCTTTTCTCAAAGGGTCGTGATTTATCTATGAGATGTGATTTTTCCACAGAGTAATGACTTTTCCAAAAAGTTGTAATTTTTTCGTTAAGTTGTGACTTTTTCAAAGTGTTGTGACTTCTCGGAAAGATCATGATTTTCATATAAGATACGAAAAATATTTTTTTATACTACCCTTTCCTGCAATACATATAGGGACTTCCTCTTATTTTTCAACCATATTTTTTTCTCTTCTTCTTGCAAATTAAATTTATTGTCGTCGAGTGATTTCAAAGTTTAGCGGTATGTGAAGTACCACTATTCTGTTGAAGTAAGTCGTTCTATCCTAAGAGGGTATATTATATATCCTTGAGTACTTGAGGAAAATAATTTAATTTTAAGATATAAGTGTCAAAAACACACCTATGAGTTTCATGTCTAAACTATCACTTTTTAGTTTGAGAAACACACCTCTCTCTCTTATATCACTCTCATCATAGTATGTGTAATACACTCTCTCTTTTATTTTAAAGAATTTCCACATCACACTCCACCTAGACAACATTTAATCTTGACAAAAAATAACTAAATTATTAGTATTGGTTAAAATTAAAAATTAAAAACTATTATAAAAAACAATATTTTCTTTATTTTATTTTATTTTAAAAGTATTATAAAAAAGATAATATTTTCTTTTATAAAATAATATTATCATTAAAAACCATTTTTTAAGTTTTTATTTTGTTTAAATTTCTTTATAAATATATTTCATTTTTTACTCATCCCCTCCCCCTCCTTAAATACTAATTTAGATATTATTTTATTTTCTTAAAAATAATTCTACCCATCCCACTTAACCCTCTGCTTTCAATTTTTTTTTCAGTGTTTAGATATACATATCGAAAATATTTTTACTTGCCGCCACAAGACTTTTTAAATTTTTAGTTATTTATGTTATATTCGGTGCACTAGTGTATTTTTTTTTCTAAAAATATATGTACGTGTATATTTAACACAAAATGAGAAAAATGTAAAAAAAAAAATTAGGAGTGAAGGATTAATTAGGATGGAATAGATTTTTATTTTTTAAAAATAAAATAAAATCAATTTCTATTTGGGGGGGGGGGAGGATGAATGGGTGTTTTTTTTTTTTTGAGGGGGAGGGGAGGATGAAGTATGAAATTTTTAAAAATATTTTATAAATGACTTTTAAAAAAAAAGGATGGGGGTTGTTTGGAGGGGGGGGGATACGTGGAGGAGGTGGTGTAGTGGGGTAAGAAAAGTAATTTAATTTTTTATATGAATAGTAAAAATTTAATTTTTAATTTCTAAATTAATATTAATATTTCATTATTTAATTTTAATCCATGTGGAATGTCATATGTCAAGGTTTTTTCAAATAAAAGAGAAAGTGCATTACACACACCACTGAGGTTGTGTTTGTCAAATTAAAAAGTGATAGTCGAGGTATGTAACTCATTCTCTCAATAGTTTAGGTATGCAACTCAAAAAAGTGAATAATTTAAGTATGTTTTGACACTTATCTCTAATTTTAATGATATAATAGTTAATTTTTTAGCTTAATATACACACGAGAATGTAATGTTCCAATATATAAAGTTAACATGATGTAGTATAAATTCATTTATTTTCTTGTTAACAATTCTCTTGTGATTTAGATATATGCTTCTGAATAACTTCTTTCAAAATTTAGAGAATATTCACGATTTGTTTTTGATGCTCAAGACAAAAGAACGACTTTATTTTTCAATGTTACTCATGTGATTTAGACTTCCAGAAGTGTGCTTCAAAATAGTATTACTATATAAAATTGTCTTTTATTTTACATATTTACTATTTCTTAATGATTTAGTATTTTAGACGAAAAAAATTCATATGACTTGTAGTAATGTCACCTGAAGTTAGTATAAATTTAATTTTTATTATTTATTTAATAGCTAATTTTATAAGATAAATATTTTTATTAATGAAAACATATATTTATAAGTAGGTATTTGTTTTTAAACTAAAGTATTGTATATGTCACAAATTTATTATCAAGGAGATCTCCTAACTTGAAAATATATTATTTTAATATGTTCCAAGTTTTATTTTAACAAAAAAAACTCAAACAAATGTAAAATATGTGAATATATAAAATATAGTTGTTCTCTTCACATGTTTATTTGATATCTAAACAATTTAACAATACACATGAAAAACACATTAGGTTAGATGACAAGAAAAATACTAATCAAATATTATTTATAAGGTAATATTAGTGAGATAAGACTAATTACATGATTCAACCTCATAAAATATACATAAATATATATATAATTGCATTTAACTAATAAAATTTTTTCTTGATCATCTTTATAGGTTTATGTGAATGAGAGATTTATATGGTGATTCAAATTGAACATTCATAAAAAAATCTGCAACATCTTTTTTTTTCAAATCTTATTATTTAAATTTTCACTTAAATAAACAATACTATTTTTCATATCATATATTTTTTAAATTGATAATCACGTGCAACGCATTTATCAAAAAATTAGTTTGATATAAAAAAGACATTGCTAATACAATTACTCATACTGAGTTGGGCAGTTGGCACACCATGTAGGAAGATTTACGTGTTAACAAACCCCTTGTGTTGTTTTATGGCTTAATACATAGTCGTTCTCCTAAATTTCACATGTGAACCAAGTTTCGTTCCAGCAGTTTATGTTCAGCAGGTTATGTGTGTTTAGAGCTGGTGGTTAATCCTGTTGGGCCGGTCTGGCCTAATTTGAGATTTAATAGGGTTGGACTAAGATTTTTGAAGCTCATCTAAAAAAAAACTTTTTAGCCCGACCTGAATAAGTCTGCTGATTTGTAGGATTTGAGATATATCAGTAGGATCAGCCCGTGGGCCAATAAAAATTAATTAAAAATATAATATAATATTAAAATTTAAAATTAAAGAGAATTTAAACTCAAAACAATTAATTTAATATTTATATCTAGTTATACTTTTACTTGAAAAAAAAACTTAATAAATATTATGAAGATAATTTTATTTGTGGATTTAATTGACAAGTACTAATATTAACATCATGTAATATTGTTTTGTTGATATTTATGATAATATTTGAAATTATAATTTATCATTTAATTTAATAATTATAAAAAATATAATTTTTTTAAAAAAGTAGGCTGGCCTAGCAAGCCTATAGCCAACGTACTTGTAGGTTGAGCCAACCATTTTCTGGCCCACACGAAAGTTGGAATGGGCTAGCCCATATTGACAGCTCTGTGTACATTATCATTCGTCTATTGCATACGTTTTTATTTTGAATTTTGTGGGTTCAAATTACGCGTAAACTTTTGTGCGTGTATCATTTTTCTGTTAGATAATTAAGTTAACTACATAAAATATGTCTATCTCTATTAATTATGTGTATCAATTTCAAGTAGAAAATGTTGGGAGTTTACTATTTATTAAGGTGAATATGTATTAAATAAAATAACATAGTATTTTATATGATTAACCTCCCGAAACCTAAAAAACAAATGAGTACACATTTTTAAAAAAAATTCCAAAAACTTGAACTTAAGTGTTGAAATTTGAAACACATGGATTTTCATTTTTGTGAAATTTTAGAATAGTTTAGTTTCAAAAAATCATATAAATCCAAATTTGGACATATAATATGAGTAGTTGTCAATTCAAATTTGAACCTGTCAAATATACTCAACTCTATTTCAAATATCAGAAAATTCTTATTACCAGCCAGCCACTGTTGAAATCGCAAAGCTCATCAGTTTTTACTTTCCTAAAAGCATTTTTGAGTTTAATATACCTCATGTTCAGTTCAGTTCAGCTCCACTACTAGTGTGACCGTGTTGACCTTTTACTACCTCAGCTAAAATTCTAGCTCAATACATATGTGGAAAGCTCTGTTTATATCTCTCTCTCAAATGTCTAACCTATTGATTCGAACACTAAAATGTAATTAGGGTTGGCATGAGGGACACAATATGTAAATGATTTTCGTTTTTTTCTGAAATGTCACATAATGTGAAAGGTTTAATTGACCAACACCATTACTACTATGCAAATTGTTGTTGAAAAGTAGTGTGGGAAATTCTCATGTAGACAGTCCAAAAAATTGATTGAAAAAGTTTAGAGAAACGCACTTTGATGTTTCATCATTTGATATTCTGATGTAACCATCCTTGATCCAGGACTTGGTATACAAATAACATCAACTCAGTTTCAATTTGGCCAAATGCCAAAGTAATATGGCCACATTAACAATGTTGAATTGTGAAACATAATTCACTGTCATCACTTGCCACAATCTTGTTTTTTTAAGTCACATTTGAAAAGCATTGTTTTTTTTTCCTAACAGACAACTTTTCACATTACCATGGGTGCAACATTCTGCCTATGCACTTGCCCAATGAAAAGGGACAACAACCAATTTATCGCTAAATGAACTTTGTCTTGGTTCTGAAGGAATCAGCGAAAACATGAAAATCAAAACAGAATAAGCAATTCCAAGCTACCATTTTCAATTCAACTAACACAAGGAGATGTTTCCATGTTCATATATCAACTTGGAGGATTTCAAGCCTTTTTCAAGACCATCGACCTTGCACGTAGATTCAAAAATATTCCCCTACAAATTGATAAAAGACAACATCACAACACTGTGGAATCATAGAGATGGAACATGTTTGACAGTAGCAGAAACAGTAACAAGAAGGGAAATTGCGGTGCATACCAGCAACATGCAATAATGCTGTGAAAGACTACTCTTAATTGCAGAGGAACATACAAGTGATTTACCCACCCAACAACTGGCCAAAACTGCACATTTATAAACAATTACTCAGCATTCACTGAAGAATAGAACAAAAAACATTGAACTTGGAAGAGGGCAAATTTGACTAACCGCCCACGCCGTATACTGCACTTTTGGATATTCTCTCTTGATATTAGATTTCACCTGGATCCAGGGTCTTTCTGTGCAAAATAAAAGATAATATTGCATATTCAGTCAAATATGTTGTTCCGTGTGTAGATAATCTTACCTCTAGCTAATGAAAGGCAAGCAAACTTAAATGAGCCAGACTCTTATAAGTTCCATTCCAGCAGCCTTCAAAAACTTGTACTAAATATGGCTCGACGAAGGAGAAGAAACTTGTACGAAAATGAGAAACTCATGGTTTAGTTCCTTTTAATGGAGCATCATCATCTCTTTTAACTGTTTCTAGGATAGGATGGAAGGTAAAATTCCTCCATTCACTAGTTTATGGATGAGTGGTACAACATTTTCAGTCCCTCTTTCAGAGAGTTCAAAATCTCCTTTATTACTTTGTCAGTAATAAAATGTAGAAAACCTCATATGACTTTTCTTTTTAAACTTCCTCTACTCACACCGTCTCTCTTTTTACCCAGCAAAACATAATATAAATATTTATTTGAATAAAACACTCATTGAAGTAAAGTAGAGACTGTTTTCAGTGATCTCCTCATTTTAAGGATATTTCCCACAAGGTCCAAAGAAGAGAAATGGGAAATAATTACGCAACATTTTTGTTAAACTAGAAACATAAATCAAGGATTTGAGGCTTTCACAAGGCAAAAACTAAGTACCTTATCAAGCTTTGTACAATTGTAAGGGTTTAAAGAGATAAACTGTTTGAACATGCAAATTGAATAATTTTAGTAACAAAACAATGTGTTTCTGTAGATGAAATGCTTTTGATAAAACTGAATTCAAAAGATAACATTTTGTTTCCTTTTTTTCTTTTTGCCACATGAATAAAATGTGTGTTGCTGTTGTAACTCTTTTAAATTGAAGGTTATGACTTTCATCAGCCCCTTTGAGTTCTTAGATAACAATCCTAATTTGATTGCTCAAGGACAGTTTTATCTACTTGACATTTGGTTGTACAACATGATGTTGAGTTTTGGCGTGATAATATATACCATGCAATAGTTTATATGTCAGAATGTTAAAGACAGTGGTAACTCAAAAGAAAACTCACTTTCAATAACCATTCCATAGTAAACCATGAAAAGCAAGTTATTCCAGGGTGACACAGTAATTTGTTCCAGCAACACCTGAAATAATCAATATGCAAGTTCACATTCTTGTATATTTATCAGCTCACTGTTTATTTACTTCTTTACTTCTTTCTCTATCTGGTAATATTATTTAGCAAAACAATAAACAAGTGCTAAATTCAAGTAGGCAAGTTTAGCAATTTATCACGTCATGAGTATACAGTCAAGCAGTTCTATTGATATAGATCCATGTAGGAGGTAGATCACATCCATAGAGTACAAGGTAATGTGTAACATCCATGTACAAGATACCCTATCCTATTTCGTGAAGCATACTAAATCATCCAAAGAAAAGAGGGTTTAGTACCTTTTTGGCAACTGTACTCTTGTCTTTCTTCCCCTTGAAAAGTTTGTCCAGTAATAAGTGAAGAAAATGCCCAAATGGTCCAAGATAGGCAACACCAAAAAGCTGCATGTAGTTACAGGTGAAGCAGATGATGACATCCCAAATACCAACTTATTCACAAAGTAGAGGAATATGAAACACGTGATACCAACTGAATCAAATGATTTTGCCATGCAAGTGTCAGTAATAACGCTGAAATTGAAGAGAAATTGACACATAATTGCAACTAAACTTAACCTACCCCCACAACAATTCTGCCTAAATAACAAGCTAATTGGGGTCGGTTGTATGAATCCTCTGTATCCATTCACTCGTCGTGACTAATGTTAGCCAGGAGATGAACTTTTACTTTGTATGCTCACTGCCAACTACTTGCTCAGTATTCAGATTCTCAAGCCTCAAAGACAAATCTTCAAAGCAACTCAAGATATTAAAGCTAATTCAAGTAGCACTCCATACTAGTTAGTTGTCAATTTTTTGAAACACTTCCCTTTCTTCTGACTCCTAATTTTCTAAGTCCGTGGTGTGACAAGAAATAATATTCCACATGCTACAGTTCCAACTTGAAATATCTCACTCCAGTTTTCAAATTTGACAATCTAAATAGAAAATTAAAGGATTAGCCAGAAATAGCACCTCTTTAACGCAACAGAGGCTACCGTCCAATACTCAGTGCAGAAGCCTTTGTGCAGTAGGACCAGTATGAGTAAAGACATTTCACGCAAAAGAAGAAATATATCTGTAACATCCTTTGTGGCTCATAACCAAAACACTTCTTCCCGTAAGTTGTAAAATTTTCATTCAGAAGAAACACTAGAATCTGATATAAACTTACCCATTCAACCCTAGATGGCAACCGAAATATTTACCCAAAACCGAAAGAAATTGGGTTGGGATTCTCTAGAACAAAAAAATAAAGCCATCTTTTTGGCATGTTAATCCTGTTTTTTTAAGAAAAATTTGAGAAAAGCTGATCACATTGCATTGGGTTACATTTTTAATTACCACTTCCATCCAAGCCAGAGAGCATGTTAACACTGCATTAGTTTGCTTTTTATATTTAGTTTCTGTATCTGATTCAGTTAGAGGCTATAATTGATTTATACTTGGTATTACATAAAAGATACCATGGTTTAAGGCTGAGTAATCGAGGCATAGGAGTTCTATATTCCAAGCTGCAACATCGAGTGTTTGTTCTATCTTCTAACCTTGATAGACAGGTTTACAAAAACAAGTAATTATGGGTTATATCATGCTTCCTGGAGTATTAGTAGATGCACATAAACTGGCCGGTTAACACCATCATCAGAAAGCAATGAAAGAGACTAGGGTCTAAGGTAGTGTACTAGTGTTACAGAACCAAGCGAATTTTTAATGAAAAGACACAGACAGCAAACCTCTAAACCAAACATGAGGCACTCAGGCCAGTATATGAAACTTTACTGCTACTTCTTTCTGAACCGGAGGAAAAAAATCGTTAAAAGTATCATGAAGTTTACTAAGTCATCGTACTCAAGCTCAGATACGTAAATGCAACCATGGGAGTGCTTACAAATTGCAATTATGACCTCCATTCTACCACAAATATATTTTTTAGTACTAGAAAATATAAACCTCTGCAAATAGAAGGTAGAGGAGCCGTACCACTTTGAGAAGAAGGCGTCTAACTTGAAGCTTCTGAATGCCAGTGATCTTCTGAGCCACTAAATCACTGATCGCCGACAACACTCCCGCCGTTATTGCCTGCCATTTAGGATTCAACTATCATAGATTCATCGAGTACCAATTCTGCTAAAACTTCAGCAAAGTTGGCAAAAACTTCATGAAAATGCAGGGGAAAAAGATGAAATCTTTGTATCAAAATAGCAACTTCTCGACAAATTAAATAAGACCCACATCACAATTGGGCAAACAATTCAAAATATCCAGAAACCGCTCTTCACAAATCAAGAAAAAGAAGTTGAAAGAGAAACAAAAAGATTGGTAAAAGAAATTGGGTAAAAGGTTTGACCTTTGTTCGTAAAGGGTGTTGCTGAAGCTGTAGCAAGTACTGTTGGAGACCCTTTTTCGCTATCGACCCCATTCTTCCTTGTCTTCCTTCACTTTGTTCACCTTCAAGATTTGAGAAGACGAACAGATTCGATCTTTATACTTTACTCACTAGCTTCTTTGACTTCCATTACATTGAGACCAATTTGGTGAATCTGCTTCTAATTTTGGCACACGTTGCGTGGGACCATCTAAAACAGCCAAATTTGTAGGTCATTTTTCCTTTAAATTTTTTGTTTTTTTAAAAAAAATACTTGTTTAAATCATATTTTATACTTCTTTTTAAAAATACATGTAATAAATAAAAAATAATGGTCAAACATAACTCCAATTTTGAAAAGTCCAAATTAAAAAGAATATTTTTATTCATTGAATGTAAATGCACTATACAAATATTTAAACAGAAGACAACAATTGCTAATTGTTAGACAATGGAGTCCATTTTATTTTATTTGCCTACTTGTAATAAACTTTGTGAGGAATCTATTTACAAAAAGAATTATTTTAAGAAGAATATTGGAGGTGACGCTCTGATTTGGGCCTTGAGAACACTGATTTCTCATGTGGGCTTGAAGGCAAACTAGTTGTGAGCTTTGAGGCTTAAAAGCCCAGCCCTCAGATTTCTTCTAAATAGAAACAGAGTTATAAGTTTGGAGCCCAACACAGGAATCAAAAGTACCCCAAAAAAGAGAAAAGGCTCGTCTAGGCTTTTTATCTTATTTTGTGTTGGTCTTTAATTTATTTTTGTGTCTTATGACTAATACTCTAATTGAAAGTTATAGTTTTCTATCGTAATAAGAAATGACTTCATTTTTTAAGAAATTTTTACATGATTAGACATAAATTCGATTGATAAATGAAAAAGAATTAGAGTTAAAGGGCTTGTGAAAGAATGAAAATACCACCCATACCAACCAAAGAACCAAATCCAAAAGGTGAAGGAGAGAGAGGGAGTATCCAAATTCCTACCACTCACTAAAGATGAGTTCTCTATTTGTAATAGAAAGCCTCCTCCACCCACTCTTCACCACCAACAAATCTTTTCTCTTTTTTTTTTTTAATTATTTAAAAAATATAAATATTAAAAATATATTTTTCCTTGTTGCCTACCACCAACACCAAGATTGGTATTTATCAGATAAAAAGGCCTTGTCATTTTATCAGTTGGTATGAGTAATAAACTCTTATAAGCTCTCAGATTTATCTTTTCAAGAATACAAAAAGATTCAATCTTTTTGAAAGGTGGTAAGTCTTCGGATTATCTCTTCTTCAATTCTTCTCATGTAATTACCATTAATCTTGAAACACAAGATTGTATTTTTTTTTTGTTCTCTCTTTCAGAGATCTGTCATTGTATCACCTTATAGATCATTCTATTTGGATCTGAACTGCTGAATGTTGTCCAAATTTTCACACTAAATTGAACTTTCATGGAGTTCCTCCACCTTCAAACAGATAAAAACAATTGGCCCTGATTGATTTAATGTTGTTATAATAATCCTAGGATAGGCTAAATTACATCAAGAAAGTGGAACTATTCTAAAGTGGTTGGTTCTGGGAGTTCAACATTAAGAAGTTCTGATGTGATTTAGGATGGATAAAGGAGTTAAGAAAGAATACTACTGAATGTTATTGAATCAAACGGATTAATCCATCTGTTTGTGAAAGTTTATATGCTCTTTAAGTTCTTCTTTTACTTTAGCTATTGACATTTTGACCATTCTTTTATAAAATGTCTCATGAAAAGCTAAATTATTGAATACTTATCCAGAAAAAAAGTTCACACAGAAAGTTTTGCATTCCTAGATGATTTAGAAGTTGGTTATGATTATTCACATGTTCTGGCTTTCTGTTTATTCTTGGCACTACTGGAAATGGTGTTTTTGACAGTTTCTCAGTATGATTTTGATATTTTTGAAAATTAGATGGATTCAATTTTTTTGCATTGAAAAATGATGAATCTTATTGTGTGGATGATTTGTCTGTAAACTGGTCAGACTATTTGGAAAGATGAGGGGAGGATTGTGGCAACTTGGACAATCGATCACCAGACGTCTGGCTCAGGCTGATAAGAAGACTATTGGTCGTAGATGCTTTGCTTCAGATGCTGATCTGAAGAAGACTGTTCTGTATGACTTCCATGTTGTCAATGGGGGAAAGATGGTGCCTTTCGCTGGTTGGAGTATGCCTATCCAGTATAAGGACTCAATTATGGACTCAACAGTAAATTGTAGGGAGAATGGTAGTCTCTTTGATGTTTCTCATATGTGTGGGCTAAGCCTCAAGGGGAAAGATACTATCCCTTTCCTGGAAAAGCTTGTTGTTGCTGATGTTGCTGGGCTTGCTCCTGGGACTGGTAGTCTCACAGTCTTCACAAATGAGAAGGGAGGTGCAATTGATGATTCAGTGGTCACCAAGGTGACTGATGATCACATCTACCTTGTTGTAAATGCGGGTTGCAGGGACAAGGATCTTGCACACATTGAGGAGCACATGAAATCATTCAAGTCAAAAGGCGGTGATGTTTCATGGCACATCCATGATGAGAGATCGCTTTTAGCCCTTCAGGTTAGCTTGTTCTTTCCAACAATTTGACATGCTATATGCTTTATATAAATATTCTCTTATTATGAAGTAAGTAATAATGCTAATCCCATGCACTAAGAACCGATCAAAGATTGAAAAGGGTGCTTTAATAGTCAAGGATATGAGAAAGTGATATCCAACATCCCAGTGGATACAGAATGTCAAAAATATTAAGCTCATAGAATTTCAGACTATCTGTAGAAGCGTGGGATTTTTCTAGCTTAAGGTAATTTGCACTTGATCATATCTGGTGATAATGTATAGATCCAAAAGAATATACTTTCCGGATGACCTTTTCTCATTGTATCACTAAGTTATTTTCTTTTGATGCAGTAAGTTATTTTCTTTCCCTTCGTGCAAATATTGCCGAATCATGCATATTAATACCTCACTCTTCTGTTCTTTCTTCCTTATCTAAAACTTTATTTTCATCAGTTTTGGGGCTCACTTCTGTGCTAGCAATGCTTTTCCACCCCACTCTCTAGCCCAACTCCTTCAACCAACAAAAAGAATGTGCAACTTGCAAGATATTACCAAACAATCTTCATCTTCCCCACAATTAATTATCTTATTTTCTTTCAATGCATCTCTCGAACTAATGTCTTTGATTTTCAGGAAACAATTTCTTTCATTTTACTGCTTTTCAGGAAATAATTAATCTCTTTCATTTTCTGCTTTTCAGGAAATAATGTTTTTTCATTTCACTTCTTTAAGTTGTTTGATTGTTTCACTAGTTACTGATTATTTTTCTCGATTTCTTTTGTTCAGGGACCCCTTGCTGCTCCAGTTCTTCAATATCTGACAAAAGATGATTTGAGCAAGATGTACTTTGGGGAATTCAGGGTTTTGGATATCAATGGGGCACCATGCTTCCTCACAAGGACAGGGTATGCTTCTGCTCTTGCTTTCCTCTTCAAAATTGAGTGCTGACTCTGCCCCGAGAAAAAGCAATCCTTTAGTTTGATAGACTTTTTCAAAAAGTTCAAAATCAGAATCACTTCAGATAAATGAAAAAAGGTCCAAGCATTTTCATCGGTTAGTTTCTTTAATTGTTTAGTAATGGGTTAACCTGGCTTCTGTTATGGTCGAATACCCCTTTGTTATTGCACAATAATGTGTAAAACAGCTGCAACTGTATCCATAAAGTAACTTCTCCATGTTTCTTGTCATTCAGTGAGCTATTTTCTTATGCAATCATTTCCTACTTCTGATGTATGATTGGCACTTGATCCTTGCACAAGTAATCTTGACTTGCGACAGCCCCTCTGACATAATGTGTATTTTGAGCAGGTATACTGGTGAAGATGGATTTGAAATTTCAGTACCTTCAGAAAATGCTCTTGATCTTGCAAAAGCTCTTCTTGAGAAATCAGAAGGGAAGATTCGGTTAACAGGTTTAGGAGCTCGTGACAGTCTTCGTCTTGAGGCTGGATTGTGCTTATATGGTAATGACATGGAGCAGCACACAACACCTGTAGAGGCAGGGCTTACATGGGCCATAGGGAAGAGAAGAAGGGCAGAAGGAGGCTTCCTTGGTGCTGAGGTAATACTAAAGCAAATTGAAGAAGGTCCTAAAATCAGGCGAGTTGGCTTTTTCTCTTCAGGCCCACCCCCTAGAAGTCACAGTGAAATTCAAGATTCAAATGGACAAAATATTGGAGAAATCACCAGTGGTGGTTTCAGCCCTTGTCTGAAGAAGAACATAGCAATGGGATACGTAAAAACGGGTAACCACAAGACAGGGACTAATGTCAAGATTGTGATTCGAGGAAAGTCTTATGATGGGGTGGTTACCAAGATGCCTTTTGTACCCACCAAGTACTACAAGCCATAATAACTCTATGTTGCCTCTTAAAAACTTGTTGATGCCTCTAATTTCTACCTTGTTCTTACTGTTTTTAGTGAAAGTATAACCGGAATACTTCAATCTACATGTTGCTGTTTTTTGCTTATGAGTTCCTTTCTTGCTTTCTTGCATGATATGTGTATTTTCACTTTTGCATTCCTCTGGCATGATCTCAGTAAATGTAGTGTAGTGTGTACATGAATTATACATCAGTTTTGAAGAGGTAGTATAATGGAAGTATCATATCAAGGGTATGGCCATATTTGCAATGACAAATGTAAAATGTGATGAGCCACATTAGGAGTGATTCCGGCGTCCGTTGTCAAAGTTAAATTTGTTTCTACTTATTATGCAACAATCAAAAACTTCTTTAACTTCTGCAGAATGATATAAAATGAGAGAAAGATGCACCAACCTATGTACAGTTTTTACTTTTGTCATATCGCATACTTTTTTTCTTTTTGCTTTTCCTTATCTGCCATGGAAAAAAGATGTCCCCTAATTATACACAAATTAGGGGTGTCAAGTGTCAAAAAGGGCGGATTATGTTTGAAATTGATCAAGTTAAAATGAGTTGAATTCACAAATAGGTTGGGTTAAAGTCAACCCAATAGTTGCTTCATGCTTGGGCTAAAAATGGGTTGGTTATGATCCACTAATTTGACCCAATTTTTTCTAATGGTGGTCCACTCCTAATACCCGAGAATCGAGCCTTGTCTCGACACTTGGGACATAAGACTTGTATACCAATTGTAAAAAACTCATTTATGATTTT